AAAAATCTGCAATCTATGGGATGACTCTTCCCTTTGTACAATATGTAAACAGCCAAAACGGTAAGCCCACTCTTCAAGGCTCATCATTCATGTACATATAAGGGGAATATGAGTAAATTGAATCTGTATCCTGAAACAGAGAGCTTAATCAATACGTTGGATCATAGATCTGATTTATGTCGACATACAGTAGTCATTTGCTGATCACTGTGGTAATGCCTGTTGGAATGGAACTAAACAGAGGAATAACCGGGTTGACAACTGGTTAAACAATAACCCACAGTTTAGTGGCAGAAGAGATCTCAAATTTGTATGTAAGGGACCGAAGAGATGACTTGGACTCTAGAGGGGCTCCCACTTATTTTTGTTTATGAAAACATTGAAAATAAAAATTACACCAATTAGGCCCCTAATAATTAGAACCTAAAAATGGGAATATTGAAATCAACAGAGGTTCTGGCTATAAATATGGAAAATGTAAAGCAAGGGATCAAATATGGGGCACCAGAAATTTGAATCTCAAGACATGAACTCAAAGAGCACGACCACAAGGCAATGGCAGAATTAGATAAAAAAAAATTTCTTTTGGGGTGGGAGTGGGTAGCTCATTGAATTAGGGGTGTCAAGGTTTGTGTTCTCGTGGAAAATCAGTGGAATTCTACGACTTTTTTGGGGACCTGGCCTGCCTAATCCAAGCTAATATAGGATCTACTTACTATAATATCACTCAGGAATTCTATAATCTAATGAAGCAATTGAGTTGTATTTTCAACACCAAATCACACTATGTCTTAATAGATTTAGAAAAGTAAGAAATGAAAAAATAGTGATGTTGGTGCTTTTACCTTGTTAGTTCTTCTTCTTCTCTTTCTTTGAAAGGTGAACCTATATTTGATAAGAGCAAGTATTGTAATTAATAAGATATGGTATTTGTCAAAAAAGCTTTGATTAAATGATTGCTCACCTCTTGGGATGAAAATGCATGAGATTGTTGTTGATGTGACATTGGCTGAACAGTGGGATGACTACTAAGTGAATCCTCAACCTATCATTCAATAAGAGGCTTAAGTTGTATATTAGCTCTAAACAATTTAAAGTAATAACTAGTAAAAATAATTAAAATACCTGTTGCCTATGTAATGGGTTTGAGGGTGCAACAACTGGATCAACGGGCACGCCTGCAGCTTGCAATTGAGATTCCAAAAACTAAATTCGTGACTGAAAATTATATATTTTGCGTATTCCCACATGATGTATCCTATGTTTTTAGAAATTTCATATCTGTGTAGTATCACGTGTCCGTGATTTTAAGATCGTGTGTGGAGGAAGAAAAATTTTTCTAGATGAGGAGCTGAAATGGAGGAAAACATATATAGATCAAATTAGAAGAGGGAATAGGGCAGGAAACAAGAGAGAAAAACAGAGCAGATAAAACAGAAGATTTTGAAAAGGTTACATGAAAGAAAAAAATTGTTAACTCCATAATGGAATCATACTAATCAAATTTTAGGCACCAGAATAGTGGAGAGTTTTGACATGCTCAAAATTTCTGCCAGGTCATCAATCAAGCAAAGTCCCTTTGAATGCTCCTAAAAGGAATAAACCTGCAGCAAGTATGCAAAGCAGCATCCTTGGGCGATTTCTTTCAAATCATATTTTCCAAATACCCGTTTTCAATTTGTTTTTCCAACTCATATTGTTTTGTGAAGTGGTAAACACAACTTCAACTGATTTTTGTATAACTTTTTTTAAAGTCGTGTTTTCATAACATAACTTTCCAAAAACCGACATGAGTATAGGAAATAACTTCAATACAACTTTTGTGCCAGAACAAGCTAGAAAATATTACCAGCTCTGGTAGTGGGAAGGGGAGACAAAATGAAAACCACTGAAATTAATGCATAAAAATCTTGAAATTATTGATTTAGCAAAATATTTCGTTTTAAAAAATTTATATATTTTTTCTGCAAAAAACATTTTTCATATGTTTGGTTGCGATTTTGAAACCAATGTGCCACTAGTTGTATTAGAAGTAGTGGTGGTGGTGATGGTTGGGGTGGTAAGGTGGTGGTGGTGATGGTGGCGGCAATAGCATAGTGGTATTCGTGAGACTTTAATTTGAAAAACGTTTTTCATATTTTAGAAGTACAAATATTTCAAAAATAAAAGATATCTCCTCCTCCCCAAATAATCTTGTTTTCCGTTGATCACAGAAAATAGTTTCCATTAGCTTTTGTTTTCGGCATACCAAACACCAAAAAATGAGAAATTTTTTCCAAAAAAACGTTTTTTCACCAAAACAAAGAAGCCAGTCTATACCATATATTGTTTAGTTCAAACATAGACAGACTAGCTAGAGGAAATAGTACCTGCAATTCAGAGTTATGTACAGATGCGAGTGTGGGTCTTAATTTGTAGGTACCAATAATTTCACTTTGATCTACATTCTCAAGTGTGAATTTGATTTGCCACGTAGTTCCTTTGTATGTGTTATCACCTATTTTCCTGCAATTCAATTGAACTGGTAAGTAATTGGACATGTAACTATAACTAGCTATTCTGTAGTAGTAAGAACATCAAGTCCAAATGATTAATACCCTCTTAAACATTAACAAATCCAATAATGTGATTTTATAAATTGTTGATCAATATTGATTTATAATGCAGTGAATACAAGTGAAGAAAATTTAAAGATCATTTTATATGATAATGGATTAATTAAAAAAAGAAAAATAGAATACTGTAAAAGTACATATAATCAGATTGGGTTACAAGACCTTGTGCCCCAGTGATATGCTTTCCAATCTCCATGGTGGAAGCTGTGGGTTCAATCCCCATGTGGGGCAGTGGGGTTGATCTCCTTTCCCCTTTTCCTTAGATTAGACTAGTGTTGGATGTAACGAGTGACCAAAAAAAAAAAAAAAAAAAAAAGATTGGGTCATCCTTCCTCACCCAAAACCCGCACCAAACACGATTTGATTCTTTAATCCACCCAAAACCCACCTCATCATACTAAAAAACTCCAAACCCGTCTCATTAGGGTTGAGAAGGGTCGGGCGGTTAACCAGATCGATTTTTTCCATCCCTAATTACTATAACCACCTTTAACCCATGTAAGTACTAGGCAAAGAAAGGAAGCATTAGCAACAGGACACAGTTTACCATTTCATGTGAAACTTGAATCATTATATATATATATAGCAGTGAAGCAGATTGTATCAAACAAAACACATTCTCATACATTGTCTAAAGAATGTATTAATTTTCAACCTTTTGGGAAGGAGTGTAATGACTGAAAAGAAATAGACATCATATATATGGAAGAAGTGTACCTGGTTACTTGAGCAAAGAACCAATCTTATTCATCTGAAGAAAATTTTTTTTACGAATGTATCCCCGCTGTACCTGTATCATACTTTTTCAAATTTTGACATATCGCCATATCCACATCCCCATATCACCATATCCGTATCCGTGCTTCCTAGGCTATCATTGATGACTTAAAAAAGTATATTTGCTGAAATTTTTATTTAAGAATGGTTTTTTTGGCTTAAGCTAAGGTCTGTGATATTCACTGATGAAGGGGAACAAGTTAAAGCTATTGACCTTGAAGACTCTTAGTTTTATAGGAATTTTTCTTCTTTATCAAGTTATCTTTTGCTTTAGGTTTTATTTTTATGCATACTGCATTACTAAAAATTGTTAAAATAATATTTTTTATGAACGTATCCCCGCCGTACCCGTATCCTAGTTTTTCAAATTTTGTCGTATCGCCGTATCCGTATCGTATCGTATCCCGTATCCATATCCGTGCTTCCTAGATCCTTCCTCACCCAAAACCCGCACCAAACACGATTTGATTCTTTATTCCACCCTTAACCCACCTCATCGAACTAAAAAACTCCAAACCCATCCCATTAGGGTTGAGAAGGGTCGGGCGGTTAACCAGATCGATTTTTGCCATCCCTAATTACTATAACCACCTTTAACCTATGTAAGTACTAGGCAAAGAAAGGAAGCATTAGCAACAGGACACAGTTTACCATTTCATGTGATACGTGAATCAATATATATATAGCAGTGAAGCAGATTGTATCAAACAAAACACATTCTCATACATTTCTAAAGAATGTATTAATTTTCAACCTTTTGGTAAGGAGTGTAATGACTGAAAAGAAATAGACATCATACATATGGAAGAAGTGTACCTGGTTACTTGAGCAAAGAACCAATCTTATTCATCTGAAGAAAAAATTGCAGAAAAAATTTTTAGAAAAAATTTTAGGTGGAACAAATTTTAGGTGGGAAGGAGTGTGATGCTGGGAAATTGTAGGGCCAGCTCTAGACCTCAATATTCATCTGAAGAAAAAATTGCAGAAATTTCTTATTCACCTTAAAAAAAAACTCCCTATATTTATGTTATTTATATCAATAAAAATGCTGTAAGCACAAAAACTTTTCATAGAAAAGCAGCAATGCATTCATCTAGGTGGAACATGGCCCCATACAAGAGTGCAGTGCTACCACTTACACATTATGTGCACTTTTTTAGAATTTTTTTGTGTCACTATAATTATTATGTCAAACCTGTTCTTTTGCATCGTCCCAAAGTGAAAGCGCATTATTTTCATCCGGCACAGAATTAAGATAGATAAAAACCGGACCGAAAACCTTTTTCCATATCTCACCAGGTTCAAATTTTACTTTAAAATCTGGTCCGACATAATGAGAAGTGACAAATATCTGATACACATGCAATTTTGATCAAGATTATGTATCAATTGGACATAATCACCAAAAGCATTAATACAAATTAGTGAAATCAACATGGATCATGTAATTATTTGTAAGTAAAAATGGGTATGGGTTGTCACTTACAGCAAGGGTTGTTGGGTTGACATGGGAGGTTAGGTCTTGTTTGAAGGGTCCACCGGCTCGGAACTCATTGCTGGGTGTGATTTGCCAGAACCCCACAGGCGGGTCAAAGCATATCCACCCGTGAACCCGATTATCTTTGTCCTCAGTTGAGTATTGGTACTTGTCATCCACCTGCACATCAGGAATGCATCAACATCTAAAACAATAGATGTAGCATTGCAATTAATGTCACATGGAGACAGGATCCACTATGCTCATCTCCTAGTTCTCTATTCCAAACTTCATCTCTACCACATGATTAGAATCAAAGAAATTAGGTTAAATCTGATCCTTTTCTTCAAGGTACACACCATCATTACATTTAAAAACCCTTTACATTCCCTCAGCATCTGAAACGTTTAGATGTATTTAGAGAAGGCAAATCTAACAAAAGTATTCAATGCAGTAGCAAAAATGACGTCAATGACAATATAACAAATAAAAAAATCCATCGGATGTTCTATTTTAACCAAGGAAAAAAGTTAAGCACCATGGGCTCATCTGGGGGATCATACTGCAGAATCCAGTCCTATTAGTAGAGAAGATAAAGAAAATGAATCAACATGAACTATTATAGATTCCATCTTGAAATGAAATAGTTCAGTCATAACAATTGGTACTTTTCCAGTGTTCCTTGTACACAATTTTTGCAACCTTTTCATACATCTCATGGTAGTAAATTAGATGCTTGTAAACAGTTTTATACAGAGTTAACTGAAATAAATAGAAAAATAAAATTTCACAGCAATGCCAACTAACAGCAGACATCACCATGGCATGCTTGGCAGAATTAATTTCATTTATCATCTAAAGGTGCAAAAGTTTTTAACTGCTATATATCCCTTCCTCATTTTTTCTTTCTGTTTGGGGTTGAGGACTATCATTGCTGGCATACCATATTCAACACCAACAAGCAAAAGAAAGTAACATACAACTGCAGGAATATCAAGACAGCGAGCAGCAACATCAGTACATAATAAGATGCCCTTCTCTGCTTTGCAGAAGTCAAAAAAAGTGGATGTACGTCTCTGCTGCTTTTGCTTTTCCATGGATATCAAAGCAATCTACATGAATGTATCTGAGAAGTTCAGAGTGGAACTTGACTGAGTTACATGAAGAGAAGAAAACCATCACTTTCTTTGAGAGATTCCTCTTCAAGAAGGAATACAAAAGAATAAATCTCTTGGCACTTGGCACAACACAATAGCCTTGTTGCAGCCCTTCATTAGTGACCTATAATAGCAGACATCTTATCAGGTTCTAGAAGCGGGCACTGAAGAAAATCACAACACACTGAATAAATTCCAACGATTAATTTACCTTCTTCTGTCCATCATCCACATCAATATAGACAGGAGTTGTCTAAAACGATAACCGAGCAATATCCTCAACTTGAAAATTTATAAATATTTCTGCTTAAGCTTCCATAAACACAGAATTTAAAATTTTGGTGTTGGAAACACTAGCAATGTTCAAGCAACAAAATTAGGAAAGTCTTATCAGAATTTTATTCACTGTGAGAGTTTCTATAAAGAAAAGAATTCAGAGATATTGATAAATAAAAAAAATATTGAGTTGAAAATAATGTATGCTTACAATCTAAATAAACAAAGGAAACAATAAAAGCATGTACAGAAATACCTTCTTAGTCTGGGTAGCTGAGAATAGAGCTGTTTGCCTCTTCTGCACATCAGATAACATCTCAATTAATTCAGGCACAATGAAAGACACTTGTATAACATTCGTATAGGTGACAAGAAGTAAACTTGAAGCATTTCAGTTACTGCTGGAACAAATTAACACATTGTAAAATCAATTATGAAGCTTCAGGGGTGAAACACAGCCAGAAAATTGATCCCAGGTGAAGGAATCAACAAGGCAATGCAGAAAGCAACAATGTCTCAAACATTAGATTTTCCTGCCCAGGTCATTCATTCACTCCCTTTGGGGAATCATATCAATTGGCATGTTTGTAAAATCTAAACCATATGACTCAAAAAGGTAAAATGCGCAATTATCTTCATCAGGAGGAAAAAAATCATTCACGAGGCATATATTTTGAAAAAGAGAGAGTTTCAAATAGATATAGAACAGCCTACATCATTTTTTCAATTCAAAAAATTGAACAAGAATCTTTCAATTCAGAAGATTTTTTAGATTTTCCAATTAAATTATGCAGGGAGAATAAAAACAATCACATGATATTAATTTAATGAAATAAGGTGCTAAAACAATTTCATATCATATAAGGCCTTGATTCATAATAGCTGGCATGACACTCTGTACCACATTACAGTCAATAATACAAATGACTAAAATATGATTTGCCTTTGGTAGAATCTTAATAATTTGCTTCATTTCTTCTTCAAAGTTTGCTTCCAATGTCCTGTTGGATTCATCAATTATGAGACACTGCAAGTCCAAAAAAAGAAACTTAAAGGCTGGTTTGGCAAGTTTAGAAAAAGCCTTATTATGTTGATGGGCTCATGTAAAGTCTTAAATATTTCTTTCTAAAATCATGAATAAAAATATCTTAATATGTTGATTTTGTTTTTGACCCCCCCAAAAAAAAATGCAAATATATACTTTTTACAATTAATAATGTAATTAGCAGAGTGTTCCCAATATATGAACCCAAATTAATTTATTCCAAATAGTTGTACAAGAATGACTTCAGCTATATATATACATATATATTTATATTCAGGTCAGAATCAAATATCAGTTCAGATTAATTCAAATCAGTTCAGCTTGATTCAACAGGACATGTAACATGATTCAAATATCAGTTCAGCTTGAGAGAGAGAGAGAGAGAGAGAGAGAGAGAGAGAGAGAGAGAGAGATAGAGATAGAGACAATGGAGCTCACCGATCTGAATCGCTGAGATGAAATTCGATTTCGATTTCGATTTCGATTTCGATTTCGATTTCGAGAGAGAACTGAAATGGCTCTGATGAATCACCGATCTGTTTCGTTGAGACCGAGCTGAATCTCTGAATCACAGAGCTGAACTGACAGAGATAATTAGGGTTTAGACAGCACACACATAGAGAGAGAGAGAGAGACAGTCGCTCACCGATCTGAATCGATTCACCGATCTGAATCGATTTTGAGAGAGAACTTTGAAATGGCTTTGATGAATCACCGATGTAAGATCTTGGAAATGGCTCTAATGAACGCTCACAAGTTTGCTGTCACCGATCTGAATCGATTTCAATTTTGAGAGAGAGAGAGAGAGAGAGAGCGCGAGTGAGAGTGAGATCGAGAGTGAAAGTGAGAGTGAGAGTCAGATTCAAAATAAAGGTGAAAGAGGGAGAGGGAGCGTGTGGGACAAAGCCATTTCAAGGCGTTTATAAACGTCTTCAATTCATGAAACGACACCGTTTTGATTAGAGAAAAATGCGACGTTTATGAAACGCCGTTAAATATTACAAACAGTGACGTTTTAAAAAACGCCGCTAAAAATACGCCTCCAAAACTGATATTTCCTGTAGTGTTTATATAGTGGTTTGAGTTTGTTTATTTGATGGTTTTGTTTTTATTTGTTTATTTTTATTTCTAGTTATTTTTTTTTTACTGTAGTGTTTATATAGTGGTTTGAGTTTGTTTATTTGATGGTTTTGTTTTTATTTGTTTATTTTTATTTCTAGTTATTTTTTTTTTAAATTTTTAAAAAAGTTTTAGATCCTTTAAATTGTCGAACTAGAAAATTAAATTCTTTTTATTTTTTTTTTATAAAAAAGTTCATAACTTATTTTGGTTTTTTCATTTTTTTTTTCCTTTTTAAATTCATCTAAACAAGACGGATTAAAAAAGTAAACAAATTTAACATAATTTGAAAAAAGTCCCTAAAAATAAAAATAATTTTTTTAAAAAGAAGTGATTTTTTTGGCCAATAAGTAAACTTCCCAAACACCCCCTAAGTTATCAACCATTTTTCTAAATTTTTTTATATATCTTTTCATAAAAAATTTAAAAATTATTTAAAAAAATCAATTGTCAAACATTAAAAAAAACCAATTCAACATATATTTTTCTTTCTCAATGCAAAGTTTCAAATCCCAATTCAATATTTATAATAAAGTAATGAAATGTCAATGTAACAATTATCCATGCAATGCAATAGTTAGCCTTGTGGTACACATCCTTACCTCTTTCAATTCCCTCACATAATTCAATTATGAAGGTCACAAATTTCCAATTTTCTCATTTCCATGCGATTTCACAAAATAACCATCTATCTATTCAATTTCATCAATGTAACACTATCTCCCATTTCACATGTTCTCAACAAGTTAGTCACATCATGACTTTGTCTACAATCCCAAGAATAAATTCCAAAATCCACACTTCATATATTCCATGAGATTTGTCATTTATATAACAACAAATAAAATTTTCCAACCATTCATCCACTATGACACTTTAATGAGTAATAAAAATTCATGGGTTTTCAACCCCTTCCAAAATCATTAAGTCTCTAGGTTTTTGATAAAAAGGGTTATTTCTTTATCTTTTGAAAAGCAACCTACCCAAAACACCATTTCTTACACTAGATAGTTGAAAGCTCTTAAGAATTTGTTTGGATAGAGTCAAAAACTAAACCCACCTTTGAACTTCTATCATTCTTGAATAAAAATCAAAATTTCTTAATATCATCAAGGAAGTTCCAAAACCACACAAATCTTGTAAAAACATAAATATAACTCTAAGAAAATCCCTACCTCAAGTTTTGATGAAGAGATGAGATGGAACCCCAAAATCAATGGTGTAGAAATTCAATCTCCACCGCACAAAGTGAAGCCCTCGAAGAGTTTTCCAATTTTATGCAAGGAAGTAGGGTCAAAATATTTATAAATTTGGAGAAATCAAAAATCTAGTGAGGTTTGATGTAGGAAATATAGAGAGAAGGGAGAGAAAAGAGTTTTTAGAGAGGGAGAGATACAACAAAAGTGAGATACACTCAGCCCAAAAAGAAGAAAAAGCAAAATTTTTGGACTCACCTACCACTGCACGTACGGCACCCATGCCCGCACGTGCGGAGCGTGCCTTTCATACGTGCAGCCTTCATCCCCACACGTGCGGCCCCTTCTCCCGTACTCCCACTCCCGCACCTGCATATATTGCAGTG